CTTGAGATCTGCCTCCAGCTGCGCCACCTTCGTCTCCAGCTCCTTCTTGGCGGCCTCAGCAGCTGCGGCAGCGTCCTTTGCTTCCTTGAGCGCCCCGCCTATTGCTTGCTCGCGCGCGGCAAGCTCCTCCTCGTGGCTGTCAAGGTTGACCTTGCGCTGCGCCAAATCACCCTCCCGCGCAGATAGCCTCTCGGCAGCAAGCCACTGCTGCTCTTCAACCTCAGCCTTCGAGAGGAGGAAGGCTTTCCTCTCCTCGGCGACTTGCTCCCGCTCCTCTGCCAGATTCCGGAGAACTTCTTGCCTGAGGCCCCGGAGCTCCTCCGCGCGCTTCTCGATATCAACTCCCGCCCTCGCGACAAGCGCTTCTCGGGAAGCCAGCTTGGCTTGTCGGGCGCGGTAGAGCGACGTCAGCTTCCGCAGCAGCCGCTCCTCTTCAGGCTCGTCGCTGCTGCCGCTTGGCGCGTCGACCAGCGTCAGCCCCGCGGAGGCAAGCACTTCTCCATCCAGGGTTTCTCCTTCGACCGGCGCCCTGGAGCTTGACGCCTAGGGAAGCTTGATGAAGATGTCATCGCCGGCCTTCAGGTAGGCGCCGGGCTGCGGCTCTTCGGAGCCTGGCTCTGCAGCAGCGGCAGAGGGATCGGCGGTCGGTGCAGCGCCTGGCGCTCCTGCGGCCTCGGGGCCGTCAGTGCGATCGCCGGCTTCTGCGGCGGCAGCCTTGGCGGCCTCTTCACCAGCGGGATCATCAGCACCGACCTTTTCTTCAGTGGCGGCGACGTCGTCGTTGTTGCCACGCGCGTTCTCCTCGCCGGCGTCCTCGGTGTCCATTGGCTCCGCAGCAGATGGATCTGAGGAACGAAAAAGGGAGAAAAGTCAAGCAAAAATCCAGAAAAGAAAATCAGAAGAAGAACAACCCAAGAAAAGTTTTCAGGCAAGAAGATTACCCGTGCTAGGATCTGCGGTTGCGGTCTCAACCGCCGGAGGATCACTGGTGCCTTCCCTTGCCGGAGAACTGTCCCTTGCCGGAGAGTTCCCCCTTGCCGGAGAGCGCTCCCTTGCCGGGGACTCCTCCCTTGGCGGCGTAGTCGAAGCTGATGGCACTTCGGGAGCAGCTTCCGGGCACTTCTGGTGAGGCTGTTCAGCTCCTACACAAATCAACAGTCAAGATATCAGTAGAGAAAAGAGCACCCATGCGCGCCTGACAGCAGGAAGTAAACTATAAACTTACGCTGGGGGCTGCGCTGGGGGCTGCTTTGGGGAGTAGCCGCAGGGTCCGTCAAGGTGGTCTTAGACACACCCCCTGCTGACACGGTGGGATCATCTTCGATGACAATCACCGGGGTCTTGGCTCTCTTCGCCGCTCTCTGGGCCAGCGTCCTGAAAAGGAATGGATTCAGATCGAAACAAGTCAGATACAAGACGAAAACAACAAGATAGCAAGAATTGAAGAACTACGAGGACAGCAAGGGGATCTTACTCTTCTTCTTCATCGTCGGAGCTGAGCGCGGAGAGATCAAAGTCCGGCGTGCCTCCGGTGCGGCGAGGCGGAGGAGTAGGCTCCCTAGCACGCTTGGCAGGAGCAGCAGCGATGGACCGGGAAGATCCCGCCCCAGTTGCCGCAGCGGCGTAAGGCGCTCCTGCGGCAACTGTGCTTGTCGCGGTAGAGCGTGTCGCACGGCTTGGCGACTGTTGGCTCGTTTGCCGCCCCGCTACGTCCCCAGCCTTGCGGAGACGCCTTCTTGGTGCAGCCGGGGGCTCCGCCTGCGGCAAGCTGTCTGAAGGTTCGGGCTCTTCCTCGCCGGGCTCGCTCGGTTCAGCTTCAGGGCCGGCAAGATCTTCCTCGCCGGCAAACTCCTCGCGCTCGGCAAGGCTTGCCGCCTCTGCTGCCTCCGCCTCCTCCACAGTGAATCCAAACTCGCCCACGGCAGCTGCTGCCGCAGCCTCTTCCATCCTAGTGGCGATGCGCTGCAGCTCCGCGTCGGTAGTGTCGCGGGTGAGGCCCTTCTGTTCATCAGCGCGGACCGGCACTTCTACCAAGTCGTCAAAGAACGCCCGCACGACATCATCCGCAGGTTCTTGCCAAGTTGGGGTGATTCCATGCGAGTCGCACAACGGCATCATCGCGCGGATGCGGTCAAGTGAAGAATTGTTGCACAGCGGAATGACATTCTGCGGCAACATAAATGGGTGCTGAGGGTCACGCTTGAACAGCTCCAGAAGCATCGCGTCCAATTCCAAAACCGTGAAGTTGAAATTGAGGCCCGGGCGTAGCCTCATGATATCCGCCGAGTTCTTGAACTCCCAGGCTGGTCTCCCCCTCTCCTGCAGGGGGGCGATGCGGCGGCGAAGAAAGTCTGCGCCAACTGCGCCTACAGTGAGCCCGGCAAGCCTGAGGCGAAGGATCCGGGTGACGGCAATCTTCAGCCTGTCGTCCTCCGGGGCCACATTACTCCAATCATTGCCGCGCACTATTGGGGCTTGGCGCAGGGCAGTAAACGGCTGCGGGTTCTCCTCGACGATCCAGCACCACTCTGCTCTCCACTCCTCCCATTTGCTACGGAGCTCACCCTCCAGATACGCTTCCTTCTTGCCGACTCTCGAGATCCAAGCAATCCCGCCGGCAAGAGGCTCTCCTCTCAACCCGAGGCATGAAGAAGTGGCGGAAAAGGGCCACGTTTGGGTGGACTCCGACAAAATTTTCGCACAGATGTGCGAAAACTGCCATGGTCAGAATGGCGTTGGGGGTGAAGTCAAGGAGGCGGAACCCGTAGGTGTTCATAATGTCGTAGAAGAAATCAGAAAAAGGCGGCAGAGCCCGCAGTAGAAGAACAACGCGAAGAAGGGGTACCCGCTTGGAGCCAGTTCCGATGCTGCAGCCGGGAGTACCCTCGTGCGCGGATGCGCACGCGTCTCCGTCGACCAGAAGAGGTAGTAGTACTCCCTCAGCTCCTACGCACCGAGCTGAGGGGGGAAGAGGGCCCGCTCCTTCCGCAGCGCCGCGAGCCGCTGCGCCTCGGCCGACTTCACGCCCTTCCCCTTGTCGGCTTTTGGAACCATGGCGGAGGTGGTGGGGGAGATCGGCGGCGTTGGTGATGCTGGTGGCAATGGGGGGCGGAGCGCTGCTCTCTTTCTGCTTCGAGAAGAAGGGGGGAGCGGCGGAGATTTCTGGAGTTGGAGCAACAAACGGAAAGATGGGCGAACTGCCCCTGTTTCCCCTGCTTATAAAGAGGGAGGGGGCGGACGTTTCGCCCTTCCGAATAAAGAAACCACCCACGATCTCTCCCACGACGCCGCATTCAACGTGTGCCGTTAGGGGAGGGCGCGGTGGATACGGAGTAAGATTCGGCGTAACCCAGGCCGCGTGTGCCCGTGCCCTGTTTTGGGCCTGGCCCAACAGCGCTCAGCACCGTGTGTGGCCCAGGCCCGGGGGCTCCTATCTATGTACTAGAGTAGGGGTACCCCAGTATCCCGAACTTGTGCACGGGCAGTTGCAGCACCCCGCGGCAAGGCTTGCCGGGTGACCGCCAAGGTCCTCCGTGGTTCCTTTGGAGCCATTCAAGAACAAAGTATTCAAGCTCAGGAGACAAGGCCCCGGCAAGAGGAGCTTGCCGGGAAGGCCAACCAAGACATTTTTAAGGGACTTACCGCGACGCGCCGCGCGTCCCGGCAAGGCACGGTGAGCGACAAGCTTCCGGACCCGGCAAGACAACGGCCGCGGCAAGGCGCTTGCCGCGGCAGGCGGCCACTCTGTACCCACGCTCCAGCGTATCCACCAACGTGTCGCTCTGGGGGCCTTTCCAGGCGCGCGTGGCGAGAGGCTGTGCAGCCAGCGGTGCACGGTGGCATGCGAAGCTGACAAGACTGCCATCGTGGCGAGCGGTGGCGTCCCTGACGGTACCTTTCTGCACTGTTTGGGCGACACAGACGGGCATTTAATGCCCTTGTCCCCTGCCGTCAGGGTTAGGTAGGGTACACTGTACAGGTAGCTGTACCAACCACCTCACTTTTTACATTTTTACCCTTGTCTACGTTGCCACCTGTCGGTGACCCCTTTAGCGTATAAAAGGAGGCCCATGCGCAACGTAGAGAGGGTTCGGGTTCATTTGGGAGCCAGAAAAACACTTAGCTCTCTGGAGCAAGAAGATAATAGAATCAGACAAACAGCAGTAGGAGTGTTATCTCTCCGGAGAGCTCCGAAGCTGGGTAAACTGCTCGTGTGCCTCGTCTCGATCCGCTCTTCGTGCGACCTCCGCCCCCCGCCGAACCGAAAGGGGCTCAGTCCGCCGGTCCCCATAGGTATTCGTGGATCAGTTTCCCCGACATTTAGTCTGAGGCAGGCTCTGTATTGGGCTTAATTTGGGGTTCTTTAAGTAGCCTGTTAGTATGGCTTGATAACTTTCAGTTCTTGTCGATAAAGTGTTAAGGGGTCTATCTGAGGTAGCAACAAATTTTATTCCATGTCTAATACCTCCTCCGTTCCTAAATATAAGTCTTTGTAGAGATTCCACTATGAACCACATACGGATGTATATAGATGCATTTTAAGTGTAGATTTATTCATTTTGTTCCGTATGTAGTCCATCTAGTGAAATCACTACAAAGACTTATATTTAGGAACGGAGGGAGTAGTTAACTTATTCCATGGCTACTTCCAATTATTTCAGTATAAGGCGAACAAATGCTTCACAGTTCCATTGCACTTGGTTACTTCATGTTTGATTTAATCAAAAATGATTTCTGACATTCTTATCCAATGCATCACCTTATAATACTACATATGATAGATCTACATTGGATTAAATATACCTGGAAAATTACCATTTCTATTACTTCCTCTGTTCACTTTTATAAAACGTTTTAGACAATTCAGACAGTGCCCAAAACAGTTCAAAGCTAGCTCTCCAAAACGTCTCATAAAAACAAACGGAGGGAGTAATAAATTTTTTATTTCTTGATGCCTAGAATGAGAATCCTGGAGAGGGATATATATGTAAAGTAGTTACCTCATCAAATGCCTCAAATATATCGATACTTGGTTGGTGAATGGTGCACACAACCGTTTGACCTGTGTCTGCAACATTCTTCACTGCACACATGACAATAGCAGCTGCCCTTGCATCCAAGCCTGATGTTGGCTCGTCCATAAATATGATTGAGGGGTTAGACACGAGCTCGACTGCAATCGTGAGCCGTTTCCTTTGCTCTGTTGATAGTCCATTTACCCATGGTATTCCGACCAAAGAATCTCTAATTTCGTTCAACTCAATTGTTTCAAGAACTTCGTTCACAAAATCCTGAGAGGGAAAGGAATACGGGTGAGCTCACATATTTGTCTCAACTGTTCCAACCACATATGAGGCTAGGATACAAGAATGCAAACCCCGTACACTACACATTTATTCTTTTTATATAGATTCGCGTATTTGTAGCTTTACTTTCGTTAGAGATATTGAATTCATGCTCCAACTAGTTACTCCAAAAGTCCAAACTGACGGAGTAAGGCAGGCAATGTATTTTCAACACTCCCCCTCGCGTCTAGGCTCCTTTAGGCCTTAGACATGGGATCGACGTGGGCCACAAATATATTTTTTAGTACTGCATTGGCAGGGTCTTGAACTCGAGACCTCTTGGCTCCAATACCATATTGTATTTTTAACAAGAGAGATAACTATAGCTCACATTTCTTGCTTTTGCATCAACTTCTGGTGGAAGGCGCAACCAGGCTGAATATGCAACCGATTCACCCACTGTGATCTGTGGGGAATGGACATCAGTTTGTTCACAGTAGCCTGATATCCTAGCAAAAGTCTGCTGAATTTTAGGATAGCCTCCTATTCTTACATCCCCTTCAATAACACCACCAGTTTTCCTTCCAGAAAGAACATCAAGGAGTGTTGTTTTTCCCGCTCCAGTAACCCCCATGAGTGCCGAGAGAACCCCTGGCTGGAACGCTCCTGTGATATTGTGGAGTAGCTGTAGTTTCTTTTCCATGTAACCATGCTCCCTCATTTCCTGCAATGAAGAAAAACTTAGTTATCAGTGATCAGCCCTTGGTATGGCTCTAAGTTCTCCAGTCATGCTTTCACAGATGTTCTAGCTATATTTGAATTACCGCAGGGGTGTCTACATAGTAGTTGACATCCTGGAATGATATTATAAGGGGCATGAAAGGCAATACCATCCTCCCTGCACAAGATTTAATTATTGAAGTCAAACTAAGATTATATCCCATTGACAGTATTGTGCGGTGTAGAATTCAACTAACCGGTCCTATTTGGTGACAAAACAGTCTCTGCTTGTAACTTAGGCATCATATTTTCCATGTTGTTATCTTGGTCTCCTCCATCAAATCTGGTAAGCTTATTGCGAGAGATAATAGCTCGAGAAGTTCCTGGAACTGACAGGCTCATAGGAGGTTAGAATAGGTTGCATATCTAACCAGAGCAAACAGTATGTTCTTCTGAATGAAACTATTTTTGCTCCATTTCCACTATTTTTTACTTCTCCAGCAACACTGTTACACTAGAAAATTATAGTATTTAAGTTGTTTAGCCTAATGCAATATCGGCCATGTCACACTTACCCTTTTTAATGGTCAAGCCTATGGCGAAGCCTACATTGAACAACAAAGTAAACCCAAGCAATGCTCCAATTGAGATCCAGTAAAAATAGCTGGAGAAGTCTAGCCCTTGATCCATTAGGATCCTCCTTCCAAGTGCTACACCAGATATCTTGATCTATCAACATAGAAATTTTAGTATCCTTTGATATTACATGTTTCTTCAATTAATTCATACTTGGTATGCCAAAGCGTACCTCCAACCATCTTTGTGCCAAAAACTCATTTCCAGTTAAGCCTATTTCACCATATGACAATGGAGAAAGCCAAAATCCCCACTTTAGCCAATTAGGCATAAATGCTGGAGCAATGCGGCACTGAAAATGTTAGCGATGCTTGTTTAATAATTGAGAACAACCTACGTTTGCAAGAAATTAGGACTCGTCTCTTGTTAGCAATATGAAATGGGAGAGTTTTCTTTTTATGGGAAGAAAATAAGGGAGTGTCTTACAGCGAGGAATTATGAAACCCCCAAACAGAAGGGTCGCTAGAAATGCCATTGTACCACCGACTGAACCAGCCACCATTGTTTGACAGTATGAGGCCACACATCGAAACATTGATAATGTTACTGTGTGGATGAGGAAGAGGACGAGGAGTTGACAGAAGAACCTAAACACAAGAATCGTGCGTGTTACCACAAAGCAAGTATTGTAGCTGAAAAACCTAAGTTTTGCTGAAAGAAAGTCTAAAAGAAAAGTAAATATAGTGTTAGATAAGGGATTTTCATGTTTGACTACAGTACACCAGATCACAGCAAAACCAATATAAACAATGTTGTATTTTGGACTATTTTCACTGGCAAGAATCTTTATTTTTCACTGGGTGATTATACTCCACATCTGAATGACACGAGTTGGGTGAATGGTAATAATTCCTCAATGGGAATGTTGTTGTAGTTGAATTAGTGCTCCCATCCCACGAGGTAATTAGTTTCTACAACATAATTATAACTTTACCTGGATGCTTCCGGGGTATAGCCAATCAGGTAGTAGGATATTGTTGTCCAAGCTATTGACTCAACTAAAGAGACTGGAATCTTTAGGATAAAAGATGGTATTGCATAAGCCCATGCAGGATAGAAGTAGTCATCTCTCTGTTTGTAGAAGACTGGCAGTCTGTTAATTGCCATGGCCAGCTCAGGGAATCCATTCACCATCAGCAGCAGGAGTGCATAGAAGAGTGAACCCATATAATAGTTAGCATGAATTCTGTCAACACCCATACGTGTGCGCAGAAATACTGTCCCAGTAATAACAGCAAGTAATCCAAGCTGCAGTGCACAAATACGTACGTTAGCTTATGGAGGGCATGTTGAGAAAAGTGCAACATGACATAGCTGTAAATTCCATCGATTTTTATAATGAAAACTGTAACAAATAATACTATCAAAAAACCTATAGCTGTGGCGCTAGTGTAGGTAATGATATAAGCACACGAGCATTTGAAGTCCTAAAATTGCACACTGAGTAGGAACTGAATGTAGAATAAGATGCTGACATACTGGGAAAGTTCCCTCTGTAGACTTCTATATGGTCAGAGAGTTCAATGTTTTCAGTGTGTAGAAGAAAGTACTGCAAGATGTCTAGTCCATGTACCCTAATGGCCTAATCCTATCATATTTCGCATTTGAACACAACAAGAGCTACATACGACATCAATCTTTACCTTTATTGTCTACTCCCTCCGTTCCAAATTATTTGAAGTTCGAGGTTTGTCCTAAGCCAAACTTCTTTATGGTATGAAAACATATTTTATGATGAATCTACTGAAACTAATTTGGTGCTGTCGATGTTGGTATATTTTTCATATAGGCTTGGTCGAACTTAAAGAAGTTTGAATTAGGATAAACCTAAAACTTCAAGTTATTTCAAACCGAGGAGGTACTATATATATTAATGCTGCAGTTCACTTGAGAGTTGAAAGTGTAACACAGATCTCAAGTCAACTTTTAGTGCGAAAGCTTTATTGCGACCTGTAAACCTCCATAGTAACACAAGAAGTTTATTACATCACATTGCTTCTAGGTTTTTCTATATTTCGATCGGTAACTAATACTGAGCATAATGCATGTAATTTGAGGATTCTGCATTTACAGACTAGAACACTTACACTGTAAAACTAGGCACAAAATTTACATGCATCAATTACATTTTTTCCCCAAAATATAGCTTCAATTTGCTTACCTGAATGGATTTTGATATGTAGATGAAGGCATTCCTTTTCATAAGAAGGAGCTCCCGTGCAAAACATGCCTTGAGTAGATCCCACTTGGATAATGAGTAGATACTGAAGGACAGCGCATTCTTATGTCCTTTAGATTCGTCATACGGCTTCGAAAGCTCCGCAGCAAGATTCTGACCACTTTGAGATGCTTTAAACTTATCACAGAATTGATCAACTGTAACAAAATTATATCCTTCTTCGGTGTGGCTCCAGTATTGTTGCTGATCTTTTTTTGACAGGACCTATGTAATACATAAGTTGTTAAGAGTGGGCTACCTTATGATTGTAAGAAAGAGTACAAATAAGTTGTTTAATTTCATTGAATTCACATCAAAACTGTAGGAATAAATCTTACACTTTGTTAGATGACAAGGTGAACCATGCTTACATGACCTCCTAGATGCTATTGATGCTTAGTTTGACATGAGCAATTCAGACTATGTAAATTAGTATATTTTGCTAAATACCTCTTGAAGGAAGTCAGCGCTCCCTTTTCTTTCGGGGCATTTAAAGCCACATGATTCAAAGAAACTCATAATGTAGCCCTTAGGGCCATGGTTCAGCCATCAAGATAATATCATCAAAAAGTTCGTAAGTCTCTGGTGCTGGTTGAAGGAGTGAGACCAGTATGGTAGACTCTGATATATGAGCTAGCTGTTGGAGACAAGAAACAATTTAGAAGGTGGTAGAACTGTCCAGCCCAGTTGATATTTCATCCATGAAGAGCGCTTTTGATGGTCCTACTATCATCTCTCCTGCTTGTAAGAAATTTTTACAAGTGAAGAAATATTAAGCATCCAGTATCGAATAATTTATGCTATTATTTATCCTATATAGACAAAATTGAGGTTGGGATTACATAAACTGAACATAACACATTACTAGCTACATTCTAAAAAGTAGAGAAAAATCATGCTAAGTTGATTCGTTCAGGCTTGTGTGCTCACAACAGAAATTTATTGTTTACCATAACCCTGTTGTTACCTTTGCTGTGGCGAGAGCTTCATATTGCTTCATGGTAATAATAAAGTACAAAAAGCATCAACAAAATAAATTAGCCAACAGAAAAGGTGTGTACCTCCAATTATGCAGTTAAGGAATTTTAGTCAATGAATTGCACAGTTATTTATTTATTTATCTCACAAAAATATCATTTACAAGATTCCAGTTGAGATAATAAAACCATCGTGAAAATGTCGTAGGCATTGTAGATTCACCTGTGGTTAGTCTTTTCTTCTCACCGCCTGAAATGCCTCTTCTCATGGCATCTCCTACTAGTACATCAGCGCATATGTCAAGTCCCATTATCTGCGAGGCAAGAATAGATTATGCACACGAAAAACATTGTGCACTGGAACCAGTGAATTATTCTTTGAACATTGTTTACCTTCATAATGTAGTCTGTTTGCATGCTTCTTTCTAAACCTTCCACAGATATTGCCTATAAAAAAAGTGCACAGCAATTATAAATGTTGTAGCCAAACTGAACTGGTCTGTACACACATGATATGCTTTGTTTTATCTTCAGAATCAATAGGAAAGAATCTCACTGAAAAATTATGATGGCACTTGGCAGAAAGATGTTGTTTATAGGTTTGATTCTATATTATCAGAGAAAGAGGTCCCAGTGGGCGCACTCAGATATGTTACAACATTATAGCAAAATTGGTCAGTATTTACCTTCATGTATGTATCTATGTTGGGGTCAGGGGTGATCCCAGCCTCCTTCTCCCTCCTAATGACTTCCTTCATGATTTCTATTATGTACAAGAAATTGTGAGCACTTGGTTTATTAGATAGAATGGGTAATTTGCTTCAATTAGTTAGTTGCCTGCTGTCCCTAAAAAACCTTTAGTTAACCAGGTCCCAGAAAAAGGAAAATACCTGCTCTGCTGCCAACACCCTGGAATCTTGCAGAGAAGTCGAGCGTCTCCCTGACAGTCATCTCAGGGACATGAAGATCATACTGGCCAATGTAAGCTGATGTCTTCTCTGGAACAAAATCTTGCAGCTTGACACCATTGTAGTCAATTTCTCCTGTTACCTACGCACCCACACATGCATACTATGTGAGTAAAAAAAAGTATTGAAATACACGGCGCACAGTATTTTTCTCTGTTTTCTGTGTGCAGTTTCAACTCCGCCTATGTTGTCTCAACATAGCCGGTCCCAAGCCCGGGTAAAGGAGGAGGGTTGTGATAGGCTTGGCGAGCCAACGTAAAAACTCAGCCACTCTTATGGAGATGAAACCCAAAAGATTTTCGTTGGGGCGTAACCCTCTCAGCGACGCGCCACATCAGAACCCTGGTGTGGTGGAAAATGGGCAAGGGCCGGGCCGTCACCCCCCAGGTGGCGCGCCGTATCTTGATCCGGATACGGTGGCAAGTGAGCGAGGATCGGGTCGTCGCATCCTTAGTGGCGCGCTACATCGGCGCCCGGATGTAGTGGAAAATGAGCAAGGGTCTTCGCATTTGACTAGACGAGTGCGAAGGGTAAGGAAGCTAGCCGAGCCTAGGAGGATTCGCTTAGGTAGCTGGAACGTAGGGTCTCTGACACGGAAGCTTCGGGAGCTAGTTGATGCAGCGGTGAGGAGAGGTGTTGATATCCTTTGCGTCCAAGAAACCAAATGGAGAGGACAGAAGGCGAAGGAGGTGGAGGATACCGGCTTCAAGCTATGGTACACGGGGACGGCTGCAAACAGAAATGGCGTAGGCATCTTGATCAACAAGAGCCTCAAGTATGGAGTGGTAGACGTCAAGAGACGTGGGGACCGGATTATCCTGGTCAAGCTGGTAGTTGAGGACTTGGTTCTCAATGTTATCAGCGCGTATGCCCCGCAAGTAGGCCACAATGAGAACACCAAGAGGGAGTTCTGGGAAGGCCTGGAAGACATGGTTAGGAGTGTACCGATTGGTGAGAAGCTCTTCATAGGAGGAGACCTCAATGGCCACGTGGGTACATCTAACACAGGTTTTGAAGGGGCGCATGGGGGCTTTGGCTATGGCATCAGGAATCAAGAAGGAGAAGATGTCTTAAGCTTTGCTCTAGCCTACAACATGATTGTAGCCAACACCCTCTTTAGAAAGAGAGAATCACATCTGGTGACTTTTAGTAGTGGCCAACACTCTAGCCAGATTGATTTCATCCTCTCGAGAAGGGAACACAGGCGTGCGTGCCTAGACTGTAAGGTGATACCTGGAGAGAGTGTTGTACCCCAGCATAAGCTGGTGGTTGCTGACTTCCGCTTTCGGATTCGTGTCCAGCGGGATAGGCGGGCTAAAGTCGCTAGAACGAAGTGGTGGAAGCTCAAGGGGGAGGTAGCTCAGGCGTTCAAGGAGAGGGTCATTAAGGAGGGCCCTTGGGAGGAAGGAGGGGATGCGGACAATGTGTGGATGAAGATGGCGACTTGCATTCGTAAGGTGGCCTCAGAGGAGTTTGGAGTGTCCAGGGGAAGGAGAAGCGAAGATAAGGATACCTGGTGGTGGAATGATGATGTCCAGAAGGCGATTAAAGAGAAGAAAGATTGCTTTAGACGCCTATACCTGGATAGGAGTGCACACAACATAGAGAAGTACAAGATGGCGAAGAAGGCCGCAAAGTGAGCTGTTGGTGAAGCAAGGGGTCGGGCGTATGAGGACCTCTACCAACGGTTAGGCACGAAGGAAGGCGGAAGGGACATCTATAAGATGGCCAAGATCCGAGAGAGGAAGACGAGGGATATTGGCCAAGTCAAATGCATCAAGGACAGAGCAAGCCAACTCTTGGTGAAGGACGAGGAGATTAAGCATAGATGGCGGGAGTACTTCGACAAGCTGTTCAATGGGGAGAATGAAAGCTCTACCATTGAACTGGACGACTCTTTTGATGAGACCAGCATGCGTTTTGTGCGTCGAATCCAGGAATCTGAGGTCAAGGAGGCTTTAAAAAGGATGAAGGGAGGCAAGGCGATGGGCCCGGATTGTATCCCCATTGAGGTGTGGAAAGGTCTCGGGGACATAGCGATAGTATGGCTAACCAGGCTTTTCAATCTCATTTTTCGGGCAAACAAGATGCCAGAAGAATGGAGATGGAGTATATTAGTACCAATCTTCAAGAACAAGGGGGATGTTCAGAGTTGTACTAATTACCGTGGAATTAAGCTGATGAGCCATACAATGAAGCTATGGGAGAGAGTCATTGAGCACCGCTTAAGAAGAATGACAAGCGTGACCAAAAACCAGTTTGGTTTCATGCCTGGGAGGTCGACCATGGAAGCCATTTTCTTGGTACGACAGCTTATGGAGAGATATAGGGAGCAAAAGAAGGACTTGCATATGGTGTTCATTGACTTGGAGAAGGCCTATGATAAGATACCGCGGAATGTCATGTGGTGGGCCTTGGAGAAACACAAAGTCCCAGCAAAGTACATTACCCTCATCAAGGACATGTACGATAATGTTGTGACAAGTGTTCGAACAAGTGATGTCGACACTGATGACTTCCCGATTAAGATAGGACTGCATCAGGGGTCAGCTTTGAGCCCTTATCTTTTGGCATTGGTGATGGATGAGGTCACAAGGGATATACAAGGAGATATCCCATGGTGTATGCTCTTTGCGGATGATGTGGTGCTAGTTGACGATAGTCGGGCGGGGGTAAATAGGAAGTTAGAGTTATGGAGACAAACCTTGGAATCGAAAGGGTTTAGGCTTAGTAGGACTAAAACCGAGTACATGATGTGCGGTTTCAGTACTACTAGGTGTGAGGAGGAGGAGGTTAGCCTTGATGGTCAGGTGGTACCTCGGAAGGACACCTTTCGGTATTTGGGGTCAATGCTGCAGGAGGATGGGGGTATTGATGAAGATGTGAACCATCGGATCAAAGCCGGATGGATGAAGTGGCGCCAAGCTTCTGGCATTCTCTGTGACAAGAGAGTGCCACAAAAGCTAAAAGGCAAGTTCTACAGGACGGCGGTTCGACCCGCAATGTTGTATGGCGCTGAGTGTTGGCCGACTAAAAGGCGACATGTTCAACAGTTAGGTGTGGCGGAGATGCGTATGTTGAGATGGATGTGTGGCCACACGAGGAAGGATCGAGTCCGGAATGATGATATACGAGATAGAGTTGGGGTAGCACCAATTGAAGAGAAGCTTGTCCAACATCGTCTGAGATGGTTTGGGCATATCCAGCGCAGGCCTCCAGAAGCTCCAGTGCATAGCGGATGGCTAAAGCGTGCGGAGAATGTCAAGAGAGGGCGGGGTAGACCGAATTTGACATGGGAGGAGTCCGTTAAGAGAGACCTGAAGGATTGGGGTATCACCGAAGAGCTAGCTATGGACAGGGGTGCATGGAAGCTTGCTATCCATGTGCCAGAGCCATGAGTTGGTTGCGAGATCTTATGGGTTTCACCTCTAGCCTACCCCAACTTGCTTGGGACTAAAGGCTTTGTTGTTGTTGTTGTTCTGTGTGCAGTTTCAGACCGAGACTGCGGAGTCCATACCCATTTATATGAATGACCAAGTACATGTGTCGATGGAAAAACATTGGGATACCTTGA